TGCCAGCATTGATTACCTTGGGATCCAGGGGATTGACTGAGCAGGATATTGGAAGGAAGGGGGAACCTCTTCACCCTGAACCCGGCGCCAGATACACTGCTACACTCCCTCCCCCTACCAGCCCCGGTCCCACATCAGTGTTAATCATAAGTTTGATGGAGTGATAAGTATGTTGGACAATCAGAACACTTCAGGGCGCCGCCTCTTCAGTCTACGCCAGACCGCCAGATCCCTCATTTTTCCTAGCGGTTACATCCTACTTCTTTTGAATACCCGCCAATGCCTTCCGTGTCCTATTTGTTGACCCGCTGCTTCCTTACTCGGTCCCATCAGCTTGTGGGCATGTAGTCTTGCTCACTCTGCTCCGTACCATTGCATATCGACCATTGCTAGTTGGTGGGGTGGGAAGGGATCGGGGAATTTTGTGGATGGTCGCAACGGGATCTCCTGGCCCACCATAGTCCAGTCTCTGAAGCAAATACAGTAGTCTCTTCTGAATTCCTCCTGGTTACACTCCTGGGCAGACCTGCCATCCCATCGGACGGATGCTATCCAGCCCCTATCCTCACTGCCCAACCAGTCCCCAGAGGATTGATGAATTGTTTGTGTTATGTCCTTTGATGAATGAAACAGCTCCAGTTGGTTTTTAACTTTCTGCCAATGTACCATGAGCTCTTGTTGAATATATGGTTTTATCATGTCTGTTATCTCTTCTCCAGCTATGCGGACCCCCTCGATATCATGGATATAGCGTTTTCTCTAGAGGGCCCACATGAACGCTCTCCTCCCTAACTTGAACATGTTGTTTTCAAAAAGTGTTGTCAAAGGGGGAGGACCATGCCTCGCATAATATGGCCCTCCAATCCCATGGCCATTTGGACCCCGTGCTCAACAATGTCCAGATCCTATCCCACCATCGCCATGTGAGCACAGCCCCCGGACACTGCATAAATACATGCTCGATGGTTTCCGGAATTCTGCGGGATGGGAAGACGGTATGGCACGATTTACACCACGGTAGCGCCCGCCCCTTCTGCTGTAGATATGTACGATCTATCAACCAGTCGTTGGTGGGCAGGCAGCGATGTTCTATATGCCGCTGCAGCGAGGCCATCTTCGCTGGCCTAGACTTTGTGGCGGTGAACCATCGGATGGGCGGATGACCTCAATTCCTACATTTAAATGAGATCTCCAACGAGCCTTTACTTTTTTTTTATGTTCACCTTTGGTCGCAACAGCCGATAGGTAGCCTTCACCGTTAAAGTATGCAACTTTATGTTCTCCCCCGTCCTGCGTTTTCACGTAGGGGCCTACTGCCATTCCTCGGGATCAAAGGGAAGCTCTGCCACGGGGGTGTCTGAGTGGTAAGCGCTCTACACATCTTTGTCCCGCAGCACTCGGATCCTGTGTAAGTCCGCATTTCTCCA